TGAACTGGGCCCAGCTGTTCTAACTAGGACACCTGGTTAATGGCTGTGTTTTTACTCCCAAAGGACCATCCTGAAGGACAGCCGCTTTTACCGCTACCTGCACACGGCCGTGGTGGTGAGCGGGACCATGCTGGTGTTTGGAGGGAACACCCACAACGACACCTCCATGAGCCACGGGGCCAAGTGCTTCTCCTCGGATTTCATGGCCTATGACATCGGTGAGTTCTCCCAGAAATCCCAAGGAAGGCCCAAATTCTTGGCTATCCCGAGGGAGCCGCCGATTTCCACGCTGGGTGTGCTGTCCTGAGCGCTGCCGGGCAGAGGGATGTGGGATCAGGAGAAGGAGGCTCCTCAGGTTGCTCCAGAATTCCAAGGAGATGAGGTGGTGCTGTGATTTCCAGCAGCGGTTTATGCACAACCTTGGGCATGAAAAATTAGGGTTTTGTTACAGAATCATAAAAATCAAGGGATCATTGAGGTTGGAAAACACCCTTAAGATCATCAGGTCCAACCATCAGCCCAGCATCACCCTCTTCACCACTAAACCATGTCCCCAAGTGCCACATCCACGTTTTTTTGAACACTTCCAGGCATGGTGACTCCACTTCTTCCTTGGGCAGCTTGTTCCAGTGCTTTGCAACCCTTTCCTTGAAAAAAAATGCACCCTAAAATCCAATCTAAACCTCCCCTGGCACAACTTGAGGCTGTTCCCGGACCTGCTGTCTCAGCCATAAGTTCTCCTGATGTTTTGAGAGTTGTTTTGTTATTTGATAAAAAAAGGCAGGTTTTTAGGAGAGGTCCAAGCACTGGAAGCTGCTGAAACTCAGCCTGTGCAGTGCACACTCTGGTTTTAATTGCTTTATTCAACAATAAAGCAGAGTAGTAGGTTGGCTTTGGTGAATTTGAGTAGCCAGGAGAGGGCAGCATTTATTTGTGAATTTGGAGTCCAGAGACGGTGAACTTGAGAAGGAGAAGAAAAGGAGAGATGGAATTATCTGAAAGAAGAGATGGAATTATCTAAAAGGAGGTGCATACACACCCAGACAGCTCACAGTGGGGAAAAACACCATTCTCTGTTCTATCACATCTGTCTGCTGCTCTCAGAATTCCCTGAATTTGGGTTCTCAGGATGAATTCCCTGAACTAATCATGCAAATCTGAAATCTTGCAGTGTGTCCACTGAGATCTCCCTCCTGGTTTGTGAGAGGAAAACACAGCTGAACCAATTACTTGGATCATCAGGGTTTGACATCCTTGTGCCATCTTTCCCCTTCGTTACAGGGATCAGTCCCTTCTGCTTCCTGTGATTTCCAGTCATATTCCTGTGGAACTTTTGTAGCTGGCTTTATTTTGATGTGGTTTTTTTTTTAACTTGAGGAATTAAAATGAGATATTCCACCAGGTTGGATGGGGCTTGGAGCAACCTGGGATAGTGGAAGGTGTCCCTGCCCATGGCAGGGAGTGGAACAAGATGATCTTTGAGGTCCCTTCCAACCCAAACCATTCCATGATTCAGTGACAGTCATCAACAGTTTAATTTTTTTAAACTTTGATTGCAACAGTGATTGATTTTCCTTGCTGCATTCTGCTGTCTGCCCTGACCTATTGAACTGTCTGTTACATTTAAAGCCCAATTTGCATTAATTTGACAAAATGTGCCAACAATGATGTTCATTTTGACTCATTTCAGTCACCAGGCAGGTTCCTGGTATGAAATTTCCTTACATGGAATAAGGGGTGCAGTTAATTTTCAGTTTTACCCTGAGATTTAGAGCTTGCATTGATTTAGTTTCTCCTGATGGGCTGAGACGTGTTTTGGTGTTCTTGGATCCCCTCATTCTTTAGGGAAGAGACTCTCAGCCCAAAAAGAGCAGCTTTTTTTCAGATAACAGACCACTTTCTCTGTTCTCCTCATGGCAGGACCCCTTGTGCCTGATTTTCCTTCTCCCATTTGCCTGGGAGCAGTGCCAGGAATCCCTCAGGGGGGTGGCTGAGCATTGGTGTCACAGCAGAAACACCTCCTTGGTGGTTCTTCCTGCAGGATCTCTGCAGTAATTAATTATCTTGTTCATATTCATGTTGGTCTCCATGGAAATAAGTCCATATAAACCCCCTGTTATCTGTCCCTTGATATTCCCAAGGCACAGGTTACCCAGAGAGAACCAAGCAAGGTCAGTTTTCTCCAAGAGGCTTTAATAATTGTCTTTATTCCCCACTTTTAGGATAATCTGTCTGGCTGGTTTGCTCATCTTTTACATCTTGTTGATTAATGATCCTGATTGATTAGTGATTAGGTTAATTAGTGATCATACTGATGGTTGGAAGATTGGAGAACACTGGAATTAAACCCAGTCTAAACCAAAGGCATCAAACCCAGCTCTTCTCAGCCTTTGCCATTAAAACTCATTTTGGAATTAACCAATTTTATTGACATCAGCAGATTTTTCCTGGTTTTCCATCCTCAAATTTCCAAGTAAGGAGAGCACATGCACTGAGTGTTCTGAGGACAGAAAATCTCTTTTTTTGGGGGAGAAGGGAATGCCAACAGGTGTCAGAAATGTGTGCTGGGCTTTAGCAACTGGGGAGATCTGAGAATTCATTGATGCTTCTCATCCTTTGTCCTCCACTTGACCAGGTTGGGGTGCATTCAATCCAAACTGTCCAGGTAATGCCTGGTTTGGGAAGATTTCAGGATAACAATCCAGCTCTCTGTGTGCTTGTGCAATTCCTGTTGAATCTCACAGTATTTTCCCTTTTGGAAAATGGCAAATTAACTCTTCCATTCCCCAAAATTGGTCTTTTTGGCCTTTGGCAAAGAATATCTTGCTCTGCAACAGCTTTAAGTGGAAAAAATGCCTCATTTAATCCTCTCCTATTCATGTAAATCTCTACTTGTACAAAGATCTTTTCTTGCCACGGAAGGAAAATTAAAACTCTTCTATTTACCCCATCAAAAATTCAGATTTAGATCACAAACATAGGAAGAGGCTGCCTGTTTTCACAGCAGATGTGTTCTGTTTGAACAGTACATTTAATAAATCCTGGGCATTGTTAAGTCTTAGGCTTGGCTTAACTCCTGAGTCAGGAAGGAGAAGATTCTTTTGTAGTCTCAGAATTACTCGTTTTTTCCAATACTTAATCTTGAGTTAAAGATGGGAAAGAAGCTTAGAAAGCAAAACATTCCAGGCCTTCTGTTAATCTAGAAAAATATGTTTCTTGGCCTCACATGACACGCAACTTGATGGCTAAAAAACTGCAAATTGCTGTCCAATTTTGCTGAAGTCTCCTGCTAAAAAATTGGAATGGTGCATTCTTGGCTTGGGAATGATGCTGGGATAGGTTAAATTCTTTGAAAATCGAGCAGATGACATGTAAAAATAAACTTTAAAGTCACACTTCATCAAAGGATTAAATCCAACAGGGCACTTTGTCTTTCATTTCTCAGCACTTTTGGACAAAATTGCCGTGGATCTGTTGTTTTATCCAACAGTTCTCCGATTTAATTAGGTAAAAAATGAATAAGTTTGTTCTTCTTTGCCCTCATGGACTGGTTTGATTTGTGGGCTTTTTTTTTTTTCCTCCCAGAGGTTCAGTCCATGGCACAACAGTTTTATCTTGTACTAAAGAATCTTGGAGTATTTTAGGGCTCTGAGGATCTTTACAGCAGATTGACTTTTCTCTCCTAATTGCATAAATTGCATCCAAGTGCCTCTGGGATGTTGGTCCCCAAGGTGATCCCATTCCCTTTGTGGAGTCGAAGTGACATGAATTGGACTGACTTTCCCTGCCTTTGTTCCTTTGCTCAGTGGGTTGGATGTTTCTTAGCTTGTTTTTCCTTTTTTTTTTTTTTTTTTTTTATGCACTGCCCAAAGGAAAAAAATTACCTGAGAAACCGAGTAAAAAAAAAAAATGAGGTAGAACTTACAAATGTTATGCTAATAGAAAAAAAAGATGGAATAATCTCACGTTGTGTTAGAAGAAGAAAAACAGCCACGAATCCCTAAGCTGTGATGAGCGAGAAATGTTTTTAAAAGCATGGATATCTGCCCTCTAGGAATATAATTGCAATGGAAATAAAAAGTGAGATAAGCCTCTGTTCTCAGTGATGCTGGTTCGGGGCAAAACTGCAAATAATTCACGTGTAAACAGATAAAAACTGAACTTGTTACACGGGGAAAAATTCCACTGGTAAAGGAGGGAAGCAGCTTCCTCTTGTCCTGTTCCCTGGGATAAGAGACCAGGAAAAAGAGGCCAAGCCCCTCTTGGCTCCCCCCTCCTGTCAGGGAGTTGCAGAGCCAGAAGGTCCCCCCTGAGCCTCCTTTTCTCCAGGCTGAGCCCCCCCAGCTCCCTCAGCTGCTCCTGCTGCTCCAGCCCCTTCCCCAGCTCCATTCCTTTCCCTGGACACGCTCCAGCCCCTCAGTGTCTTTGTTGGAAGATCTCAGGTACTTTGGGGATTTTCCAGGAAGGACTGTGCTGTGTAATTGTCCTGTTCATTATCCTGGGAATGTTTCTGAAATGAATGTTTCCCATCCCAGCGTGCGATCGATGGTCGGTCCTTCCCCGCCCGGGGCTCCACCACGACGTGAACAGGTTTGGGCACTCGGCTGTGCTGTACAACAGGTAAGGACAGAGACATTCCACACCTCCATAAACACCCCCCACAGGGAGGGCAGGGATGCTGAGACCAGAGGGGTGAGGATCTGGCAGAAACAGCCTTGTCCAGAGAAGCTGTGGCTGCCCCTGGATCCCTGGAAGTGTCCAAGGCCAGGTTGGATGGGGCTTGGAGCAAGCTGGGCTAGTGGAAGGTGTCCCTGCCCATGGCAGAGGGTGGGTCTGGAGGGTCTTTGAGCTCCCTTCCAACCCAAATCACCCTGTGATTCTCTGAACCTCTGAAAGTTCTCAGCTCTTCACTTTTGTAGAGTCTTCAGTGTCCCCCCGTGCCCATCAGCCCTTCACGGGACTGAACTGCCTCAACTCACTAAACTGCCTCAGCTCACTTCCTTCTTTCAATAGCTTGATTTTTCTTCATACTTCTGTTCCTTTTTCCTACTTTTATGTATATTCCTATTTCCTCTTTATTTCTGTTTCTTCCTTATTTCATAATTGCTCCTTCCAATTCATTTCACGTTTCTTACTTAGGAGCTGTCAGTGCATCTTTCTCCAAACCTTCCTTTGCCTCGTGGTATCTCAGTTTGTCCATGTTTCAGTTTACACACCTTTATCCTGTGGGGCTCTTCTTTCCCAGCCATGTGATGTCCAATATTTAGGGAAAATCCTAGGTGAGATTCCAGCTGTTAAGCTTTACCCACTGTAGTGATATTCCTGCCTTCAGGTGAACAGCTATTGCTCTATTTATGCCTGTGGAACCAAACAACTGTGAGAAATTTTATTTCATAGGAGTCCTAAAATAGGATAAAAGTCATATTCAAAAATACTCATTATTGAACCAAAACTTGCCTTGATCCTTCTCCACTGTCTTTTTTACCTGTGCCTACAAACTTGATTCACAGGGAATTTTTGAGTGACATTTTTATGTAACTAATAAAACTTGATGTTTTACCTGAGAGAATTGTGGTCCTAAAGAAGGTTTAAAAACCTCACCCCTTCTCCTACAAAGTATTCTGTTATTTTGGGGTTTGTTTGGTGTTTTTTTTTTAGCTGACACAATGACTCTGCTCAGTTGGTACCAGCCATGAAAACTGGTTTTGTGCCAGCGAAGCAGCCACAGCGAAGCACCAAAAGGTTTTGTCCCAGTTCCTGAACTCTGCTTTAATGCTGTGATACCATCTCCCAGATTTTTAGCCTTCCTCCCTCTCTTGCCACTGCAAATTACAGGAAAGATGCCAAATTTTGGGTCTCATCGGGTCGGTCAGGTGCCTCCCAGAGTTTTGGCCGGAGGGGAAGGTCAGTCCATGACCTTGGATGGGTTTGAGTCTGTTGAGATTCTGTGGCTTCTCTGAAACAGTGAAATTGGACTGACCTTTTCTTTAGTGCCTCCCTTAACCAAGAGCTGTTTATTTGGATTTATGCACTCTGGGGTGTAATAAAACACCTCCCTCAGACCTTAAATCCCGTTTACCCGGGGCCGGCGCGCGAGCCGCGAAAACACCCGCGAGTCCTTCTCTCTCCTCTTCCATGTTCTCCAGCACCATGTACGTCTTTGGAGGCTTCAACAGCCTCCTGCTGAGTGACATCCTGAAGTTCACCCCCGAGAGATGTGAGGCTTTTGCCAACGAGTCGTCCTGCCTGCGGGCAGGGCCCGGGGTCAGGTGTGTGTGGGCCCCCAACCCTCCCCGCTGCGTCCCCTGGGAAAACGCCACCCTGGAGCAGCAGCAGAAGGTCTTTGAAGACTGTCCTCCCAAGCCAGGTATGTGCCACATTCCTTCCATCCCCCTTTCCCAGGTGTTTGGAGGGTCTTTTTCCCCTTTTTCCCCTGCCATGTTGTTGGTTGTGTGCCATTATGAGGTCGAGTTGTGGTTGTGCTTCTGTATGTGCCCGGCAGTCCTTCCTCTGACCAGGTGTCCTGGAGGTGTTTCCATGTCTCATTCCTGAAACTGTTCATGAAATCTTTTTCCTGTCTTGCTGCTTGGACTTACTTTTTCCATCATCAGCCAGGAATCAGGCCTGGACCATCACTGTAGATATTTGCTCCAAGAACTGACCTTTGGAGAACCAACAATTCCCTGATCAGCCCCACGGGGCAGGGAAGGGGGTCTGGATCTGGTGGAGTTATCCTGTGCTCTTCAAGAGAGGCAGCAGGAATAACTTCAGGAGCAACTTTAGGAAAAATTACTTTATTTTTTGGCAGGGGGGTTGAAACCAAATGATCTTTAAGGTCCCTTCCAACCCAAACCCTTCTGGGATTCTGTGTATAGGGACAAAAGGAATGAATGTTTTCAGGTCTGATTCCTGTGTTTTCCCTCAGGATAACTCATTGAATTCATTGAATTATCCAGCCCTTGATTCTGTAAGAGATTGTCATCCTTTAATTATTTAATAGAAACTGATGTGAGGGGACATTGCTTTGCTGGGCTCTCAATGTACAATAGATTTTCACAAACCACAGGCAAGAAATGATTGGAAAGATGAGTGAAAAGTTCAAGCTTGGCATGGAAATGCTGTGCTTGAAGGCCAGGCTTGCAGGAAGATGATGGGAAATGATCACTGTCCTCATGGAATGTCTGAACATCCATGTCTTCGTTCATGTCTTCCTGCATTTTCTGACGCTAAAAATGCCAATAATGCAATTTTCCACCAGTCCAATGCCTTGGAAGTCCCTGATTTTAGTTGCTGACAGCAAATCTGCTACTGTTTGGTTGTCTCTTTGGCTGTAAATAACCAGGTTTTGTTTCTTTGGCTGTAAATAACCAGGTTTTGTTTCTTTGGCTGTAAATAACCAAGTTCTCAGAGCTCTGTCGGGAAATGCCTGTTTTTGGTCATGCAGGTTTTTTTCTTTACTAGTTGTAGACAATGAAAAATGTGATCAGATTACAGACTGCTACAGCTGTACAGCCAACACCAACAGCTGTCAGTGGTGCTCTGACCAGTGCATCCCAGCACACAACAACTGCACAGAGGAGCAGGTACTGGAATCTGAATATTCCTTGCTTTTAATTTACCCTGTGGAATAGCAAATGCCCCCCATGTTTTGGTCTGTCAGTGTTATAATCCCTGTTTTCTTATTCTTTAGCTCTAAAGTGCTACATGCTTGGATTTCTTAAGTTGATCCAAGGGCTTTTCGTGGGATTTTCCAATGGATTTAGGAGGGCTGTGGGCATAGGGAGAGGCAGAGGTGTGAATCACAATGATGTGATTATTCATTACTCATATTTTGGGTTTGATACCAACAGAGCTTCCCCTAAAAAATAACAAATTAACCCTCTCTGGTGGAAGCTCTAGTGAGGAAAACCTGTCAGGTGGTGGCTTGGGGGAATATCTGGGATACCCAGCCATGCAGCTTTTGGATACATAAATATCCAAAATATATCTATAAATGGCTTTTTAGGGCTGGACTGGGATGTTTAGTGTTGCAGTCACAGCTGTTAAATCCCCCATTGGTTGGATATGGGAAAAAACCTCCCCTGTGCTGTTTCTTTTTAGGTTCCTATTACTCTCTATGACAATTGTCCCAAGGATAATCCTGCTTATTACTGTAACAAAAAGACAAGCTGTAAAAGCTGTGCCATGGATCAAAACTGCCAGTGGGAGCCCAGGAATCAGGAGTGCATTGCTTTGCCAGGTAGGTGCTGGTTATAGTCAGGTAAGAAAAAAAAAAAATCCCAAATTCAAGTTGTTTAGGTTTGGTTTTTTTTGTTCATTTTTATCTTTTTCACCCCCCAAATCTATAATTTTTAGTGCTAGGCTGGAGTAAATAATGTTGTTTAATCATACCAGCTCTGGCATGAAACTTAATTTCTGATAAATCCATCAAATCTGCTGGAATATTTTTTCAGTCCCAATTGTCTGAAGAGGGCTGTGATCATGTGTGTAATTATTAGGCTGTATTTCATTTCTCCCTCTCCATTTGATAAAAGCTGTTGATAATAGGCCTCTGCAAGATATTAGAGTTAATAATGCATGCTATTTAATTTGGGGAACTAAATTGGTGCAAAAGCATAATGGCACATACTGGACAAATTAGGCAAGTAACACCTGAAGTGTTTAAGGAAAATTCTCCTGTTTAAGTGTTTCCAGTGGAGCTCACAGGAGCTGGTTATTAGTCCCCTTGGAGTAACTTTTTTTTTATCTCAATGACTGGGAGGAAAAAAATACAGGATCTTCAGTGATTAACATTTGCAGGTAATAAAATATAGAGAAAGGGGGGAAAAAAAACCCACCAGACAGGACATTTTAATGGGCATGGAAAACCTTCCCCCAGGAACTCTGATAAGCTTGGACGTGTCCAGGTCTGGTTTTGCCAGTCTGGAAGAGTTAAAAATCGAGGAGACTTTGGATCAGAGCCATGAGAGTGAGAAAAAAAACATCTTTTAATGAGGTAGATCAAGAGCTTGGTGTGTTTAATTTGATGTAGAAAAGGGGGTGACTTGATGATGGGTGTAAAAAGCCCATCTGAAAAACTGACACTCGAGAGCTTTTCAATCTGTGAAGTCTAAATTCCCACTGGAAATGCCCCCCAGGGTTTTTTTGTACGGGAAATAACGAACCACAGAGACAAAGGAATTCTTCAGGAGTGGGATTGTGCTCGAGATGAGCCAGGGATTAATCCTGGAACTTCATGCCAGGGGCAGGAGCACAACAACCCTTTTCTGCCTTTAAAAAGGTCCCCTGGAAACTGTGGGTGAATAAGTGGTTTTAAACCATCAACAAAATACTAGTTTGGTTTCTTTTCCTCTTTCTCCTACAATGATTTCACTCCTCAACATTGTAATAAATGCTTTGATTACATACTGCAAGGTAACTAAATGCTGGTGTCAGACTTCAGCTCCCCCAAACAGCTTTTCTTCTCCAATATAAGGATTTAACAGGGGAATATTGCTGGATAATAACAAGAGAATACACTGGATATCCCACTAATTAAGTGTAGAGTAAATTCCTAAAAACCCGTGGCAACCCTTCCCTAAGAGTGTTGAAACCCTTCTGTTGGGGAGGAGGGTCAATGCTCCTCACTAGTTCTGGGCACACCAGTAAGTCAGACTGGTTTGGGATAGGGCTGTATGTTTTATTTTAGTAGAAGGGTTCATGGAATCATTAAAATTGGAAAATACCTCCAAGATCATCATCAACCTTTGACTGAATCCCACCATCCCACCAAACCACGGCATGAAGGGAACGTCCACTGCATTTTCTGGACACTTCCAGGGATGGGGACTCCCAACACTGCTCTGGGCAGCTGTGACAGAGCTTGGCAACATTTTTAGGGAAGAAAGTTTTCCTGATATCCAACCTTAACCTCCCCTGGCACAGCTTGAGGCCGTTCCCTCTCCTCCTGTCCCTTGTTCCCTGGCAGCAGAGCCCGACCCCCCCCCGGCTCCCCCCTCCTGTCAGGGAGTTGCAGAGCCAGAAGGTCCCCCCTGAGCCTCCTTTTCTCCAGGCTGAGCCCCCCCAACAGCACAAGGACGTGGAGCTGCTGGAGAGAGTCCAGAGGAGGCCCCGGAGCTGCTGCCAGGGCTGGAGCCCCTCTGCTCTGGAGCCAGGCTGGGAGAGCTGGGGGGGTTCCCCTGGAGAAGAGAAGGCTCCAGGGAGAGCTGAGAGCCCCTGGCAGGGCCTAAAGGGGCTCCAGGAGAGCTGGAGAGGGACTGGGGAAGGGAACAGACCCTTCCCAGCTCCATTCCCTTCCCTGCACACGCTCCAGCCCCTCCATGTCTCTCCTGTCTGAGGGTCCCAGAGCTGCCCCCAGGGCTGGAGGTGCCTCAGCAGTGCCAGCACAGGGCTGGGACACACAGACCAGGGGCCATTGGCTTTCTTACCCACCTGGGCTCATGTTCTTTCATGGTTCTCTCCCTCCTTTGAACGCTGTGAGGGTCACCTGTGTCTCTGGGTTTACTTCCTCTCTCCTCCCTTCCCCAGAAAACATCTGTGGAACAAACTGGCACTTGGTTGGCAACTCCTGCCTGAAGATCACCAATGCCAAGGAGACCTACGACCATGCCAAGCTGTCCTGCAGGTCCAACGGTGCTCTGCTGGCTTCCCTCACCACCCAGAAGAAGGTGGATTTTGTCCTGAAGGAGCTGCAGAAGATCCAGTCCTCGGTGAGTGCTTTTTTTCTGCCCCCTTGTGTAATTAAGCTCTGCCTGTGGAGAAGTCCCTGCCGGGGTATTGTGTACTCTGTACACAACAGAAATGCCTCTTAACCCAAAAGGACTGATCTCCTTTTGAAATTCAATGCACCCTCTGGGTGATTCTGAGCCGAGATTGTCAGGAATGTAAATGGGAAAGATAAATATAAACATACCCGGTGCCTCAGAGGTATCACTTTCTGTAATGGAATCACCCCCTGTGTTTCCCTGGTGGGATCCAGGGCTGCAGCAGGAGCCCTCTCCTGACTTGTACACAATATTTTATAAATAAAGGTCCCTTTGGGGCACTGGAGGTGTTTCATGCAAAGCACTGGATCTTATTTATTCCGCTCAGAAAAGCAGCTGTTTAAAATGTCACCTCCTTATTCCACAGAGCCGCTTGGCTTATTTGGAGTTATTTATGTGGGATTCAGTGGCAGGTGCTTTTTTCATAGGAGCCAGGGAGAAGTGAATTGGAATCTGTCCCTCTTCATGCATCAATAAAATAAATACATGTATTTTTCCAGTCCTTGGGAGGAGCAGGGAATGTTCAGGGCAGGTTGTGTAGGTGGTGCTACAGCCCTGACAGAGAGCGATGCTGGGCAGCGTCCCTAAAATCCTGGCTTGGGCTGGAAAACTGCTGGGACTTCATGGCACATCAGAGTATTAACTCCTGGGTCCCAGAGGCTGCTGTGGGAAGAGTTTTATCCAGGATAAATGAGGCTGGAGGCAGCGGGATTGCTGCTTTTCAGGGGAGAACGTGCTTCAGTACTTAAGAGAAGTATTCCCCTGTCGAAACAAGAACATTCCCTGCTTTGATTCCCTTTGTAGTTTTCAACTGGAGTTGCAACAGTTGCAGTGTTTTAGAGTGGAGTCAATTTAGTCAAGGAAAGGTAAAGTGTAATTTAAGCAGGATTGTTTGTTAAATCTTTTGTGAAGAGGAAACCAAGCCTGGGGTGTCGTCAAAGTACCTGGTTCTGACAGCTCCAGGTGTTTCTGGATATCCCAGTAGTTCAGTGTAGAGTTAATTCCTAAAGAAACATGGCAACATGTTTAAATCCTTACACTGGGGAGACAAAAATCATTAATTGACAGGGTTTTTTTCCTATTTATGGTGTCCTTTGAAAAGTGAGTCTGAGGAGACTACGAGCCTGTTTTAGGGGATATTGGTGTGGAATGCTTGTAATGTGGGAAACTCTATCCTGGGCTGATCCCCCAGCATGGGCAGAGGGCAGGGGGGGATTCTACCCCTCTGACCCTGTCTCAGCTGAGACTCCCCTGCAGAGCTGCTCCAGCCCTGGGAATAACAGCACAAGGACGTGGAGCTGCTGGAGAGAGTCCAGAGGAGGCCCCGGAGCT